CCATTGTCATCGGCGGCATAAGGATAGCAGCCCTGAAGCAGGAGGCAGGTGCCTGAGAGCAGCCTACTAATTCTGAAGCGCGGCACAAACGTAAGGGTTTGTCCTAACGAGCTGCGCCCTGCTTCCAGCAGCAAGGCCGACGGAGCGGTCCGGGGCGCCCCTCCCGGACATCCAGCCTGAAAGTCCTGGATGTGATTATTTCCCAAGAAACCTGCGTATAGTGTGTGCTGAGCTGGCGGGGAAGTGAGGGAATTCTTGAGACGCCCAGAAAGGTCAAGGAAGTGGAAACCCACAGGAGACATCAACGGTCGTGCTAATTTATTTCTATCTAGTTAAGCGCCAGAGGCTGCAGATTAAGTCTTGTGAGGGCTTGGACTGGGAGGAGATGGGTTCAGTCTGGGGAAGGGGAGCGCAGGAAGGACCCTGAGGAAAAGGCATTCGTTCCCAGCCTGGTCGGGTGGGGTACAGGCACCCAGTGCATTCCAAGAGCGGGACACAGGCTTTGTCGTGCACACAGGCAAAAAAGAGTGTGTCTGGGAGGCTGTGGTAATAATCCAGCCATCGTTTCCTGAGTGCCAGCTTTGTGCCAGGAAAGACATTACGTGGCTTCCTAGTCCCAGTAATGGTGGACTAGGTTACTTGGACTAACTCATCCACTGAACACAATGTAAGGGCTGGTTTTAAATAATAATCTTCAAAGCCTTCAAAGAGTTGGGACCACAAAGAAGCACCAGAAAGAGAATGATGGGGCGATGGAAACCCAAAGAAATAAACGAACACAAGCTATGTGTTTCCTAAGAGTGTTTCTAAGTCAGGGCAGGGGAGACAGAGCTCGACGCCAGGGCCACTGAGGGTGGGGTGTAAGGGCAGGCCCTCCCCACGGTAAGCCGAGGCCTTCAAGGGGAGTGTGAATTGCAATTGTAGCCGATGAACCCTCACAAGTCATGGCAGTTTGAACTGCAGCTTCATGGGTGTTCCAGGGAGCCTCAAGCATTCAGCTTGGTTTATGGTGATCCCAGACATGCCAGAAATAACAGCAGTCTTGCATAGAGGAAGGCACTTTCATCCTAGGCTTCAAATAATTAGGTGATTTTTTTTGTACAATAGCTAGCACATAGTCAAAGTTAACCAGACACAGACACCCTGGGTGAGAAGAAACAGGAACAGTGGACAACAGGAAGAACCCCTTACCTCTCGGATGCTGGAATTATGAGGCACAGATTCTTAAAATGAAAAAAAAACAAAAAACAAAACGTACCTATTAAGTTGAAAAAATCAGGTTTGCAGATATCTGCAGAGAATAGGAAACTATAACAAGCAACACAATCGAGTTTTTAAGAAACCAAATAAAACCTCTAAGAACGAAAAATACAGTGACCCAAATCGCCAGATGTGTTGCGTTGAACAGCCTATTAAATACTATGGAGTAGGTGCTAATGAAGTGAAATGCGCAGCTGAAGACGTTATCCCAAGTAAAGCACGGAGAGGAAAAGATGGAAATGCAGAAGAGCTGGTTCCATCACGGGAGAAGGTCTAACGTTGATCGAACCAGAGCCTCAGAGAAGGGAGGGGATGGGGCACAGACAGTATTTCAAGAAATGATGGCTCAACATCTTTCAGAAAGACCCCAAAACACCAACCACAGAAGCACAACAGATTTAAAGGAGAATAAACAAGAAGCTTGCCAAGACACAATAGTGTCAGTGCGGAAAGATGGGGGAAATACAAAGGAGCCAGATTTGGAAAGGCAGCTTGCTTCGCTTGGGCTACCAGGCTGACAGCCAGCTCCCAGGCGGCAGGGGTGGGGTCTCTTTAGGGGCCAAGAGAAAATAATTGCCAACCTGTAATTCCATCCTCAGGGAAACATCTTTCGTGAATGAAGGCAGAATAAAAACATTCACAAAGAGGAGCCCCTCAGGAAGGGGAATTGTCAAGTATGTGCTTTAGGCAAAAAGAAAACAACCCCAGAATAACCTAAAGCTGCAGGAAGGATGAAGAACCAAGCTGGTAACCGTTAATAAACATTGTCTTCAAATTAATAATAATAATAATAATAATAATAATGTCTTATGAAGGATTAAAATATATGAGGAATTAAAATATACACCAGTAAGTTAGCAGGGACTGGGGTTAAACTAGGGTGTTCTGAGGCCCTTGTATTGTCAGGGAGGAAAGTCAATGCATTGATTAAAACAGGCTTTGAAAAGTCAAAGATGAATCATGTAATTTCTAGGTAATTACTAAAAAGTAAAAAGATGAAAGAAACAGAATGTAGTGCTTAAAAAGTACGAGAGAGAAAAGGTAAAGAAAGGAGAGATGCCAACATAGAACAGGTGTTACAAATAAAATAATACGGTAGACTTAAATCCATATATTTCAGTAGGCTGATGTCATTGGGAATGGCTCCTGCAGCACTACTAGTTAATCAAATATTGAAATTTTTCTGTACAAGTTGACAAATAGCTTCTGCCCTGAGCCCTCGCGCCATGGATGGGCATGGTCACTGGGCTGCTCTTTTGTTCCTCGGTTCACCACACCCCTGCCCCCCAGTCCATATCCTTGTTCCTCCCATGGTCAGGGGGTGCCCCAAATTGTCAGGGAGACACGCACTTGGGAGCAGTGTTGGACCCCAGAGAGCAGATGCTGGGCTCTCTCTGTCCCTTCTTGGCTATAAATCCCTGAGTCCCCTAATGCTGCCCTCTCACGGTCAGTTGTGAGGACTGCAACACCCACAAAGTCACCTGTGTAAGTTGTTAAATATGTATTATATCACCAATATATAAGAGGAGTAACTACATTAAATGTAAATGGACTAAATGCTCTAATTTACAGGGCATCTGCAGTAAGATTGTTAAAGTAGATTTTTTTAAAATCCAACTATATTTCATTCAAGAGATTCATCTAAAGCGTAAGAATATAGATATTTTGAAAGTGAAAGGATCGAAAAATAGATTAACCATGTAACTAACTACTGGGCAAAATAAATCTAGCCAATGTAGCTGTGTTAATATCAGGGACAAAATAGACTTCCAGATGAAGAGCATTACTAGGGAAAAGAAAGAAATCTATTCTAATAAAGGGTTCATTTACCCAGAAGAGATCATTTTAAATGTATAAGCACCAAATTAAAATGCCACAAAATACACTTCAAAAATTGGCAAAACTACAATGAGAAATAAGCAGTCCACCATCATGGGAGATTTTGAAAATTGTGCTACATATATATTTTTTGCACTTAAGAACTATAAAACAACAACAACCAAAAAACCCTAAAATTCAAAATTTAGGAGTCCGTATATGTTCGTATTTGGGATTGTTTGTGCTTGTGTTCTGCTTCCCTGTCTGGGAAAGGGATTGAACTGTCTTCTTTTGTGATGTGTAGAAACCAGAACATCTATCCCATTAGTCCTCAGATTTGGCTGCAGATTAGGATCACGCGGGAGACGTTTACAATCCTGACGCCCAGGCAGTATGCCAGACCAATTACACTAGCATGCCTGAGGGTAGGATTTGGGCATTATAGTTTGAAAGCTCCCCGAGTGGTTCCAGTGGGCAGCCTGATAGAAGACCTCCCCAGATTGCTCTGACCTTGGCCCTGCACTGGGGCCGGGTCAGCTGTAAAGCCCAGGATCCTGCTGGGGGTGCCACCCAAACAAGAAACACCCTGCACAAATAGACACCTCCAAGCCTGATGGTAGACGTGCCCTCCTCTTCCTGAACTTACAAAATTGTTTACAAAAATACATTTACTAAAATATTCCAGGTGTTTCCTGATCAGCTAGCCTCCCCACATTTAAGAATGACAGGCTTCAAAGACAGTTGCTGTGGATTGAATTGTGTCATCTCCCTCCCCCGCCAAAGATGTATAAAGTCCTAACTCCTGGATCCTCAAAATGTGATCTTATATGGAAATAGGGTCGTTGCAAATGTAACGAATTAAGATGAGGTCATACTGGAGTAGAGTGGGCCCTTAATCCAACAGCACTGGTGTCCTCATAAGAAAGGGAAATTTGGACGCAGAGGCCCAGGGAAGATGCCGCATGATGATAGAGGCAGAGATTGGAGTGCTGCATCTCCCAGCCAGGGAGCACCAAGGATTGCCATCTATGACCAGAAGCTAGGACACAGGCATGAAACAAATTGTCCTCAGCTCTCAGAAGAAAGCAATCTTCCCACCACCTCGATTCCAGACTTCCAGCCTCCGGAACTGTGGGAGATTCCATTTCTGTCCGTGGTACTTGGTAATGGCCACTCTAGAGAACTAGTAGAGCAGTGCTTCTCCCCTGCACGCAGACCTCCCAGAGATCTTGTTGAAGTGCAGATTCTCATCACTGAGGTCTTCAGGTAGGACCTGGGATTCTGAGCCCCCTTCAAGCTCCGAGATGAAGCCATTGCTACAGGTCCTGCAGACTTCAATTTGAGCAGCAAGAGTGGACAAGCTCCCACATGCTGCTACTGCTGGTGGGAGAGCAACCTTGCATAGGGCTGTGAGGGCAGTGTGAGCATAGCCAAAGTTCAGGGGTCCTTGGGGCTGTTTAGAT